GAGGGAGATATTTATTCTACTGCGAGCCTTTTACATCTCAAACACTCGTTCAGGTCTCTGAGTGAGAAGCTGAATCTCCTCTTCTTCCTCCTCCTCCTCGTGGGTGGTTAAGTTTACTTTTTTAATTCCCCACACGAGGACCTGAAGTGTACTCTCAGTCCCAGTCTGTGACTCTTCTTCCTTCAGAGACGGCAGAGTCTGTAAAACTGTCTTTCTTTTATTTATCGCAGTTTAAAAGCGTAATGGTATCATTCTGTTTTCAGTCAGACGGCTCCCAGACAGATTAGTGGAACAGAGATGAGATTACACAGTCACTTTTTCCATACACACACACACACACACACACACACAAGCGTACACACAGCTGTGCAGACACTTGATTTAACAGTAAATTAAAAAGTGTGTCAGCAGCGTTTCCTTATAAAGCAGTGAAATCAAAACCAGAGCCGTGCAGAGCGGAGCTGAGCGGAGCAGGACTTTCTTTATTTCATCACCACAAACAATATTTATACTGTTTTCTGTAAGAGGGAGGAGACATTTGGTTCATTGAAGAAAATGCTTCTGACCAGGTTAGGTTCACAGACTCAGTTACCATAGTAACTGACTCAGAGCTTAGGTTACCATAGTAACAGACTGAAAGCTTAATTTTACCTCTCATTCTGGATCGGCCTTGAGGTACCCCAAAAAATCCAGAGTTTCCCTCATTTCAGGATGAACATATTCTGAATTTTCCACAATCTCCCCTTTTCTGAATTAGCGGTGTTTAAAAGGGTTGTTTCCCACCAGGACCCAGGCCCAGGCAGGCTGACTCTCTCTCTCTCTCTATGTGTGTGATTTAATTTGGAGATGTTTTTTAATTTGCAGGAAAGATCATCATCGATGGGATCGACATCTGCAAGCTTCCTCTGCAGACGCTCCGGTCCAGACTCTCCATCATCCTCCAGGATCCCGTGTTATTTAGTGGATCTATCAGGTACAGAAACACACAAAGACCCTCTTTGACCAAAGGTTTTTTCTCTTCAAGGAACTGCATGGTTCCTGTGGGTCATTAGGTGTTCAAACCAAACAGTTCTGGGGACTTTTTGAAGAGGAACTATCCACTAAACACCATGAGGACTTTTTTTGTCTGTCTGCATAAACTAGCTTTGTTGTAGATCGTAATTTCAACTGAATTAGCATCATGACAGTTTTTTTTTTATGGCTGTAAGCTGCAAAGGAACCGAGTAGAATTGGACTCAAGTTTTTTTTCATTTAAAGTTTTTATTTAAGTTCAACTTTAAAAACAGCTTACAGTGTGCATTAACATTTTTTCTTTTTGTTAAGACATTTGACCCAAAAAAAAATAATAATAATAATAATAATAAAAAATAAAGAAACAAATAATAAAATAAAATAAAATAAAATAAAATAGAAAATAAAATAAAAACACGAAAAGAAACAAGACAGTTTGGACACACAGCTCCCGAAACAACACACTGTCAAGAACTGCAGCAACAAGAGAATAAATAAATCCAACTGAATCTGTCCTGAGACACACTCATCACATGACGACACACACACACACACAAACACACACAGAGTCCCAGCTGTGGGGTTAGTGGTTGAAGACTCAGTGGGAACTCTGGCTGGGACCTAAACTGACTTGGATCACAGACGTCACAAAGTGTGGAGGTCGTTTTGTGTCTCTGTCACACACTCACTCACACAACCTCTGCGTGTTTGTGTTACAAAGAAGAGACAGTGACTCGGGGTTTGTTATAAAAGACAAAGGGCATGTGCTATTTGTTTGGACAGATACGCCGCTCCAGATAATGTGTGTGTATGTGTGTGAGAGAGAGAGAGAGAGAGAGAGAGAGAGACAGACAAATAGTGTGTGTGTGTGTGTGTGTGTGTGTGTGTGTGTGTGTGTGTGTGTGTGTGTGTGTGTGTGTGTGTGTGTGTGTGTGTGTGTGTGTGTGTGTGTGTGTGTGTGTGTGTGTGTGTGTGTGTGTGTGTGTGTGTGTGTGTGTGTGTCTTGGCATTTTACACCGGCTCATGTTTATGCAAACGTCAGCCTGAGGCGAATGGTCGACAGTAACTGTTTTACACTGTTATCTTAGATGTTTCTCTTCTATTATAACACAGTTTGACTCACAAACACTCCCAACACACACACACACACACACACACACACACACTGTTTCAGTAACGCTATCAAGAAAATGTGTCACAACAGGCTATTATTCCTCAAAATCTCACGAGGGAGGCAAGGACTGAGGAGCTCAATGTTGATGTAGATAAACAAGCATTTTAGTGATTCACACTTCAAATGAAGGTCACAATATTCACCATTAACTAGCTACTAATTAGCATGCTAATTGCAAAATACACTTCACCATGGTTCTCTAACTTTAACATGTGTCTCTAGTACGTCTAAAAACCCTCCAATGATGAGAAAAGTCCATCCTCTCCATCTTCTGCCTGCTCCACTTTTCAGAAAATGTGTGCTCAAACAGGCCGTATGGAGATTTTCCCTTCATGACATCACAAAGGGCAGTAGCCCCTCCCCCAGGTGGAGGACACGCCCATAGCTAGGTGTTTGTTCTGCCCTCTGAGTCTGCCTTCTCACCGTGGGTGAATTCTTCCTTGAGAAGCCGTATGAAGTATGATCTCAGTGTGAACACTGAGTCCTCTTGTTTCAGGTTCAATCTGGATCCAGAGAGGACGTGCACCGACGATCGACTCTGGGAGGCGCTAGAGATCGCTCAGTTGAAGAACATGGTGAAAGCTCTGCCTGGAGGACTCGGTATTCACCATGTTTTCAGCTACAGACAGGTTTGGTTTTTATTTCCATTAAAAGTTGCATGTTTTTAATGTCTCTGTTTGATTTTTTGTCCGTTCAGACGCGGTGGTGACAGAAGGAGGAGAAAACTTCAGCGTGGGTCAGAGGCAGCTCTTCTGTCTGGCTCGAGCCTTTGTCAGAAAAAGCAGCGTCCTCATCATGGACGAGGCCACGGCGTCGATAGACATGGCCACGGTGGGTTTATCAAATTATGACTTGTGAAAGATTCTTAATGAACGGGTCCTGATGTTATTGCATATTGCTCCATTAAGTCTAGTTTTATTATCACATCCTGACTCATTCCCATGCAGTACTGACCTGCTGAGCGTTGCAGCACCATGCTTTTGACGCTTTTCATTTCTTTGTTTGTTTTCACCTGCAGGAGAACATCTTACAAAAAGTTGTGATGACTGCATTTGCGGACAGAACAGTCGTCACGATCGCCGTAAGTCTTCTTCTTCTGTCTGTCGATTTAGCTGTTTTAAAAAAACAAGCAAGCAGCTATGTTTATTTTAACCAGATGAGAAACTAAATCCTGTCCTGCATGTAGCTGAAGGGCACTGATAGATGCAGATATCTGGCTCTTTCTTTCATCTATTATCCTTTCCTTCAAGTTTCCCCTTTGGAAACCGACTGCTCTCCCATACTTATAAACGTAGTATTCCAAATAGTGTCTTTAATGTGAAATCAGACCTCCTAGCTGTTTCTTTCACTTATCTGATTCTCCTTTTCTGACTTTGTCTCTCTGTGATACTGTCTTGTCCTCTCTTTACTTTCTTTCCTGGTGTTTTCCATCATCGTCTCCTGTTCAAACTTTCCTTTCCTCCCATATTCCTCCTGTTTCTAACATCTCGTCGCCAGCATCGTGTGTCCTCCATCTTGGAGGCCGAGCAGGTGTTGGTCTTCTCCTCTGGGATCTTGGTGGAAAGTGACTCGGGTCCGAACCTGCTAGCACAGGAGGATAGCCTCTTCCATGTGTTAGTGAGGACTCACAAGTAGACCCGGGATCAGCACAGACCACTTTGCCCATCTCCCTTCTGTTTTTCCCTTTTCCTGACTTTCCCTCATTTCTTTTCCCACTTCTCTCTACTTCATCTTACTTTTCCTGGCTGAGTCTGGGTCTGCTGAAGACTTACTGCCTCTGACAGCCTGGTTGGTATCAAATAAAAACTACTGCATGCCGATTAGAAGATATTTTTTGTACCATGCAGTGCAGTTTGGTACAAACCTTATTTGTCTGATTTTTAAGACCTAAAAACATACTATGTATTTAGTTAGAGCATGCAAAATTATGACAAATGCTTATCACCCTCCAACTCACATTTCCTGACAAATGGAACCGACCTTTTAGCTGCTTATTTTCATCACAGCAGTGTCAGATTTAGCGTCAAGTCACAGTTTGCCAGAAAGGGAAAGGACAACATCATCTGCATAGAGGTGAATAGATAATTCCTCCTTGATCCTTGAGTCCTTGAGCTGGACAGCATCTAGTCCTCAAATGACTTTATTCCAGTTGTAGTGCTTCATATTAAGGTTCCAACTTCCTAACACAGACCTTTATAAATAGTGTGCCCATGAGGTAAAGGTCCTTTAAACAGGTTTTTATGGTATTTTGGCATATTCTCTGTCTAACCAGAAGCAATGTAAGAAGAGTGAGGTTTTGATCGAGATGTACAAAAGTAATTTTGATATAAAGAATCCAAATTTGCATGAGAAAATGTTGCATGTGATATTGCCAGCTGATTCAGTAGTGGCATCTCTTATTATTTCCTAGTAGTATCGTGGTGTATGGTATTCTCCCATCTGGTCAACAGATTAGAATTTACATGTAAACACAACAAGACACAAGCTGATTAATTAAGAGTAGGGCTGGGCAACGATTAAAAGTTTTAATCGCATGAGTTCTTGTGATTAATCACGATTAATCGCATTGTTATACGCAAAATCCAATAATGAATTCAAAAGTAGTGTATAGCGCACTTTTATTGTAAATGTACTTCTCAACTTAAACAATGTAATCAAAGCAAATAAATACAAAAATAAAGCTTATTGCATTGGTTGCAGTCTGGACGCAGAGTGGTGTGGGTCTCCTCTCCGCTCTCTGACTGCAGCTGGGTCCGCTGTGCGAGGCTAGACTGACAGCCTGTGAGTGCTTTTGGAAGGGGGAGGGGCTAACGGCAGCACCCGCTGCTCGTTGAGGACAGTAACTGCAGAGCAATACGTGCTTTCACGTTAGTCTCCAATAACACCAGAAAAAGTCGCTAGATTTGTCGCTAGTAGCTGTTGACAAAAAAGTCGCCAAAGGGGTTTGGAAAGTCGCTAGATTTAGCGAGAAAGTCGTCAAGTTGGCAACACTGTTTCCTCTTTCCTGTGAGCGCCGCAGCAGACATGCGCAGCAGTAAGCAACATACTAGGCTCGCTCACGATGGAATTTTATAAAATAAAAGCCAGTGAGCAACAGACTTTTACAATAAGAAAATAAATAATAAAAACTGCATTAAAGGTCCCATATTATGCTTTTTCTGGTTTTATATGCTCCTTAGTGTGTTTTCCAAGTGTCCTGTGCATGTTTAGGCACATCTATTTGCAAAAATTCAAAGTCCGCGGAAACGTGGCTTCTCCTACCTCCTCCTGTTAGCTGTAGCATTAGCCGCATGTAACGCTCGGTTCTAGCCCCCCTCGATAAAAATTTGTCAGTCCGACGTCATTGTCAGTGTGATATCACTGATCTAAGCCCATTGGCTCGTTGTGGCAAGCCCAGCAGCTCATGTTGCACGCCCGTTAACTTCTGTAGCACGCCCACGATATGCCGTAGCCTGCGGTAGCACAGTAGTGCTAAGATGCTAATGTTTATGCTCCCCTCAGACGGCGCCAGTGGCTGCATTCCCAATATGGTAAAAGAGGCGGGACATTTCCAAGAACCGTGCTGAGCAACTGACCAATAACGACAGAGCGGATCGGCAGACCAATCAGAGCAGACTTGGCCCACGTGGGGTCTAACAGTGTGGGCTCAGCAGAGTGTAGCTGACGGACTCAGAGCGGAGAGGGAGCAAGGAGGAGCAGTACATGAAAACAGACACTTTTTTCAGACTTTAGCTATTGTGAACGTACAAAAGTAGGTACATAGATTAAATATACGAACCCCAAAAAGGGTATAATATGGGCTCTTTAATGCAAGATCAAATAATTGCCGGCGATAATTAATAAATGAGTTAACGCGAAAATAACGCGTTAACGTGCCCAGCCCTAATTAAGAGCTTTGCTTTTAGTGTCAGTCGCTTTTGAAACACCATCGTCCAATATCAACGAGTTATACCTCATTTAAGATCTTGATGTATCTGAATCCTTAACTCAGGATCAATGTTTTGTTTGTCTCTGTTGAATTGAAGCACATTCTGAGCAGATGATTCTGATCCGACTGGGTTCAAATGAAGCCTCAATCCAGGAGTTAGCTCAAACAGAGAGCACAGTATCATCTGCATAAAGACGGACGGTGGCTCAATGATAGAACATTTTTTATTGGAAGCACCGTCTAAGAATTGGATAAAGTTTGATAATTTGATGTTTGCTTGGGAACTATTTAAAGGAAATGAATTCTGAAACCTCCCAACTAATCCACCCACAATGCTTCAGGAGTTGAAGGCGGGGTCATACGATCATTAATGTGTGCGTTCATTCATTTTGAGAGAATCTAACTGTCATTATTTCTGTTTGTCCAGCACCGTGTCCACACCATCCTCACACACGATCTGGTCATTGTGATGAAGCGGGGGAACATTTTGGAGTATGACAAACCCGAGACTCTGTTGGAGCAGGAGGGCGGGATGTTCGCTTCATTCGTAAAGGCCGACATGTAGACGACTCGGTCAGTCAGGCGGCACGCCGACAACAACTGACAGACTGATCAGTTGTTTCTTTTATCGCTTCTGTTTTTTTCATAATGACGGGAGAAGAGATCTGTGACTTTTCAGCACTCCGGTGAAGCCAATAATACACAGAGAAGCTTCTCGTTGTCTTCAGTTGAAGGGAAATCTGATCCAGAACCTCCGTCGATCATCTGTTGATATTTCTGAAGTGTTGTACTTGAATCTTTCAGTCGGGCAATTAAATGCTCCCTTTTATTTTTTTTTTATAATTTCCTGTACACATGATTTAATTCCTAAATCTCATCATTTAATCCATTTTTTTACATATTGGAAATAATACATATATGGAGTTTTTCAACAAGTTAAAACATTTAAATACCATATCAGATCACTGACCTCGATACGTCCAGTATTGGGAACTTTTCACATCAATAGAAATGTAAAACTCTTTAATTATTTTGTTAAAAATGTTTCTTATATTTCACATTTTAAACCTATGCACAACCCGTATGAGTATTATCACTTGGAAGCACTTGTATCATACAATAATAGGGGAAGAAGGGAAACGCTTGTTGAAGTAATGCTAGCTTTGTGTTGCTCCAGCTGGTCTTTGTCCAGTCTGGTCTGCACTGCAAAGTCTGTATTTGTTTAGACCAGGCTTCAGAGCGGACTTAGACACAAGTTGCATCTGCCTGGTCAATTCTGAACAGGGTCAAAACAAGGGCTTGACTACAAAACTAGACATTGCAATAAGCAGCAGTTTAGCCACCTAGAGTCTGGAGAAGAGCTAAAATGTGATAACTGGTGGTGTCTTTGTGTGGTTTGGTCTGATTGTGATTATTTTACTGACCTGACGCTTTGCATTGTGGGAGAAAGACTGGTCTGATGGATACTGTAGATTTTGACTGAATCAGTACCACATTCGGGTATCTTTGTCAAACTGTGGATCTTGCATTTGTCGCATACTGCATTTTGGCCGAATCAGTTCGTACTACCAGTGAAGTAGGCGGATTTGGAAACAGCCTCAGACTTAACGTCCGCTCTTTGAGAGAAGAAGTCGAGAGGGGACAATCAGTTAAAACCCAAGTCCCACTTAGAAAAATACCAAGAACATGTCAAGTTGATGCAACTGTTTAATTTGTTTTTTTTGGTGTAGTCACATTTTCTTTGTTAAGTTCTGAATTAGAAGTTTTACTGATAGAAATGACACCGCTGCTGTAGTTTCATGGAACCTTCTTTTTTTTTTTAGTGTCCATTAAACCAAACTGTCCTCGCTGATTTCAAACTGTGTGAGGCTGCAGTCACATGATGTCAGAAGACGTCTCTTATCCCAAATTTAAATTTAGGCTTTTTTTATAACGATTTTCCTCCTGAACTGGCCTAACGTGGGACATCAACATTGTCTACATTCTCACATCTGGACTGAAACACTTAGCAAACTTAGCAAACCTTGAAAACGAGTCGTCAGTGTTCCTCCAGCGCTGTCTGTTCTATCAGTTCTATTTCTATCCTCCACTAGTGCAAACACTGTAGGGTGTCGGTGCTGAAGCTGCTGAACCCGCTGTCTGTCTGCAGTCATGCTTTGCTGAACTTATAATCCTCGGGACAATAAGCCCGGAAATTAGCTCGCGTTATCTCCAGAGACGCTTCAAGAGGACTCGGAGAGGTTTTAAAAGTCTTCAAATTACAGAGCGGACAGAGTTTGATTTACAGCTCTAATCTTAAATCGTGTGTTGAATCTAGCCCAAGAGACAAGTTAGAAGAAGAAGAAGAAGAAGAAGAAGATGAATTTATCATTTCATACAGAAAGAAACACAGAGTGCTTCACAGGAGAAAAAACAATCAAGCAGACAGGTGTATGCTCAAGCAATTCAAGTTGGCCAAGTTAGCAACATCATTAGCATTTAGCAGCTAACAAATTGATTAAACCTGGAGACTTACAATATTTCAATCAAATCTACTCCTGGTTTCAGTGGTGAAGATGACTCAAGTCAGTGAGCTTCACTAAACAACAACATGAGCACCGCTAATGTTTTATCCTCGTTTTTACTCTCGACTCAACTCGACACACCAAACAAGTCGAGACTCGACCTTTTCTGAAGTCTCTCTGGAAGCGGTGCTTTTGTCCCTTTTTTGTATTCAGATATCCTTATTTCTACTCTTTGAATGCTTTTAATGAGATTTTTTTTAAATGACTTTGTACTGTACAGACTGAATGCCAAATAGATTCTGTTTTTTTTTTTTTTTTAAATTTTTAAACATTGTAGTCGAGTATGTTTCATCTCAACGAGTTGCCACGTTGGGTCCATTGCAGTGAGTGTGAGCTTGTGTGGGGGGCGATGAGTCCAGGAGGAGGGGTCAAGTTTGAACGTTGGGTTCTGCAACGAAAAAAATGCGACTGCCTCCACCTTTAATTTCTTTATTTGACTACATCGATGAAGAACATGATCTGTTACTTTTCTTCTCTGTCTTCAGTTTTGATGAAAGCAGATTTTGTTTCCCCCCATGTGTCTCACTTGTTAACTTATTGACCTGAACGAACATATTCATATCTTTTTTTTGCATGTTAAAAAAGCCACACTGACATTTTCCTTCTTCTCTGACGAATGCCCGTCTGACTGTTAATAAAGCATCTTAAACACCACACATCCTTTGTACGAGCACCGGCTCATTAAGGTCGATTTCAACATTTTTAAATGTATGTCATGTACATTCTGTATATCCAAGAATTTATAAGCATCTATATCAGAGTGATATTATGTGTGCCTCGTTTTTTTTTACACTTGAAATGATAATAAAATGCTTTTGAGTGATGTGAGGTTTTTTTCTTTTCCCCCAGGTTTGGCTAAGTAACCAAACCAAACTAAATGGCGCCCCCTGGTGGTGAAGTCTAACATGTATAGATACTTCACTTTGAAAGCAATGTGGAGACTTGTTGAGCTGCAGGAAAGAGAAAGTCTTATTTAACAGGAAACAAGCCTTTCTTGTTTCACTGCAGCCTCCAATAATGTTTTTGGAAGGAATCTCAGGACCCTCCTCTCAGTATCTCATGACCCCCTGGGGGGTCCCGAGCCCCCACTTTGGGAACCACAGACTTAAACACATTTATTTTGGTGCACAAAAGATTAAAGATGAAAAAGAGCCATGATTCAGTTTTCAGCTGTTTGTCAGTTTGCTCCACAATGGAAACAGGTAAGTGTGTGTTGTACTTTAAAGCAACTTCAACTCAATAAAAAAAATCTGTTCATTTTTATTTATTTATTCACCTATAATACAAAAAAATAACCAGAAAACAGTCTTATACACAGTCCTATATATCACAGCACAGATCATAGTTTGCAGTGTAACACGTTATTCAACCAAACAGCCTACAAAGCAACGATTCTCAACTGGTGGGTCAGGACCCAAAAGGGGGTCGCAGAGCCATTTTCAGTGGGTCTCCTGAAAAAAACAAAATGTTGCAAAAAGTCTATGACGTGGTTTTAAAACATGTCTGTTTTGTTCTGTCTTTGTCGTTCTTTCTCATTTTGTTCCATATGAGCTCCAAACTTTCATCTTTTTCATGAGTGGTTGAAAACATTCAGATATTTTGGGTCATGATTTCACATTGAGGAGGTGATGGTGGGTCCTGAGGCTACAGCAGCTGAGAACCACTATTCACTATTCTGCTATGAAGTATCATAGAAAAAGACAGCATTGTTTTGTAACAGATGATGCTGAAAAAATGTGATGAAATCTGTGTCAGACTTTTATAATCGCCCCTTGTTCACCTGAGAATAAGATCTCCAAATCTGTGCAGCTTCAAACTCATAAACTCAGATAAATGTGGAACTTTTTAGGAACTAGAAATGTAAAGTTGGTCGTTTAAGGCGATTAATCAAAGATTAAACTTGTAAGTTTTGAAATTTTGGGCTTAACTTAAAGTTTGTGAGGCATTTGAGGGATTTAAATTGTTTCCAATAAGTGTTAAAAGTCGAAAAATTGCGCTTTCCTGCGGTCCCTGAGGTGTCCGTGAAAGCAGCAGCACCCTGGTTTGAGCGGGTCTGGAGTCTGGGAGCTGGACTACGTCAACAAGCAGAGAGAGGAGAGGAGAGGAGCCCGTCCCTGCCCTCAGAGGAGCAGCTGAGCGGAGCAGCCTCAGAAGGAGAAGAGTTTCCTGCAGGTGGACATGTTGGATCCGCGCGTAAAGACGCTCTGAACGCGGATGACAAAAACAACCTTCACCGCTTTTATTTCTTAATTTCTTCACGATCAAGATCAGAAAATGTTGGCGAGGAAAAGCATCATCCCGGAGGAGTTCGGTCTGCCGGGGCTGGCCTCCCGGCTGCCCCGAAAACCGGTGTTCAGAGACCGCGTGAACAAGGCGCGCTTCATCGCCAAGAACGGCTCGTGCAACCTGGCGCACAAGAACATCCGGGAGCAGGGCCGCTTCCTGCAGGACGTGTTCACCACGCTGGTGGACATGAAGTGGCGCTTCACGCTGGTCATCTTCACCACCACCTTCGTCAGCAGCTGGCTGCTCTTCGGCATGAGCTGGTGGCTGGTGGCGTTTGCGCACGGAGACCTGAACCCGGAGGGGCAGACCGGAGCCTACTGCGTCACCGACGTCAAGTAAGAAACTCTGAGAACAAAGTTATCACCAAGGACATTAAAGAGTGCACTTTAGCTTCTTTAAATGTTTTTATCAGACTTTTATTCTTTATTTTTATCCATCGAAACTCCCTTCTCTTCTTCATCTGTTTTTTTTGCATTTCCTCCATTTTTTAATTCCACAGAGGAAGAGGAGGAGAGGGAGAGACAGATATTATTCATGACAGGAAGTCAGGAGAAGTTTTGCCCCACACAGTATCAGGGGAAATAAAGTAAAGTTTTCAGGGGCAGAAGGGAAAGTTTGGCACCTCCCTCTTGCTCCTTCCTTATTTCCTTCCATCCTTGCTTCCTCTATCTCACTTTTTTCGGCAGCCACCTCTTCTTCAGGTTTCATATTTTTGTCTCTCATCAACAGTTGAAAGTAAGTTCAGTAAAAAAAATAAAATAAAAATACTCTAGAGACTCCTTATTAATTTGTAAGTGTACTTCAGGACTTTTACTCAATATGTTTACCGTTTGGCCAAATAATAATTCCACTAGAGACACGGGGAGATCTGATTGGTGGATAAAATATGTAAAAAACAAACATATTTGACTTAAAAAGCAACAATAAGAAGTTGGATATGATTTTTGTGTGTATGTGTACAAGCAATGGTGTAACTACCGACAGTACAACTGGGGCCCCTGTGCGGGGTCGACCAGCCAGTCGATCAGGGGCCGGGTTGGATGACATGTTTTTCTGCATGTTGATATAAATTGCCTGCTGTGGAATTGTCTTGAATGATGTGTTTGTCCGTTTGGGCGCAGGAGTGGAGGGCCATGGCTAATGTCCAGTCTCTAATCTCCCTCTCTCTCTCTCTCTCTCTCTCTCTCTCTCTCTCTCTCTCTCTCTTCAGGTCGTTCACTTCGGCCTTCCTGTTCTCCATCGAGGTTCAGGTGACCATCGGCTTCGGGGGGCGGATGATAACGGAGCAGTGTCCGACCGCCATCACCGTCCTCATCATGCAGAACATCGCCGGGCTCATCATCAACGCCGTCATGCTGGGTGAGGCTTGAAACAGTTTACCCCAAACTAGAAGGGACAAGCGTTTATGCTGTTGCCATGGTGATTTCAGACGCCGCCCTACCAGTTTGTCTACAGGTACAATCAGGAATCGACGCCCCTGAAGTCTCATGGCCGACATCCGACCAAAGTATCAATCAAGCCAGGAATTCCCACGAGCAGTCCGCCTGATCGGGTTGAAGGTGGCGCCCCCTCCTGGATTGACTTTACCTTTTGCGTCCTCTCCTCAGGTTGCATCTTCATGAAGACGGCTCAGTCGAACCGCCGAGCAGAGACGCTGATCTTCAGCCGTCACGCCGTCATCGCCGTCAGAAACAACAGCCTGTGTTTCATGATCCGTATCGGAGATCTCAGGAAGAGCATGATCATAGGAGCGACCGTCCGACTCCAGGTGTTTACACGACCTCGATGCTCTCTCTCTTTTGTTCAACTCCAGATTCTCTTCTCCTGATCGTTTGGTATTCCTCTTGTCCTCTCTCCAAATAAATTCTGAACACACTTTATCTTCAGGTGGTGAGGAAGACGACCACTCCTGAGGGCGAGGTGATCCCCATCCATCAGATCGACGTCCAGACGGAGAGCGCCGCCGCCAGTAACAGCCTGTTCCTCCTCGCCCCACTCATCATCTGTCACATCATCGACAAGAACAGGTACAGTGTGTCAGGAACAACGACCAGATCTGTGATGTTGATCCAGAATAAATGAAGCATTTAGATGATCGCTGAACAAACTTTAAACTTTGACAAAGGAGCAAACATTTCTTGACTGAAGGGGTCAAATAAAGATTTAAAAAAATATATTTTAGAGTCTTTCTATGTGATTGTTCACACCTAAATATATAAATCAAGTATCTCCTCTGAAAATAACTCTGTGAGTCATGACTGTCTACAATGGGTGTAACACCCGAGTCCCACTGTCTGTGATGTTTTCACAGTTTTCAGAGTCCTATCTTCACTTTGTTTACATCGCCAGGACGGCCGGCTGACTCCTCCCCTCGTGTATAAAAGTTGTTTAATTGAGGGACTAGAGAAAAGAAGAATAACATACTGTACTCACTGCTTAACTGTGTTTCTAGATCACGCTCATTTCAGGTAAATTTACATGCAGTGTGAAGATACCAGCATAATAAAGATCGCTAGCATTAGCATGCTAACACAACAATGCAGCGCCAGTTGTTTTGGTTTCATGCTGGAGCTCAAGGGCGACATCTGCTGGATCAAAAAAAATCACATATAAAGCCTTTAATAGATGAACGTCTGAAGACAACATGTCAGCACCTCACAGAGTTTGTAGTCACAGAATCTGATTTTTAAAAGAGGGTCACTCTCTGTAAGACTACAACTAGATTCCTTATGAGATTTGTTTCCCATCATGCACCTGTCCTGGTGGAAATGTACAGCTGCATCTTTTGAGCAGAAAACCAGAAAAAGGAGGAGAAACTATTCACATGCCGTCTCCTTTTCTGTCCCTTCTTAAACCTCTCCTATAAGCTACGACTTAAAGTGACATTTTTACACCAAAAATGTTGATAAACTGACCAATCACGTCAGCGTGTCTGTTTGTCCTTTGTCCCTACGTTAAAGTAAGAAGGAAGTGGTGAGTATCACATTTCTAACCCATACATCTCAGTGTACACTCCAGACTGTGTTTAAACAGACTGACTGTATGACGTCTTCATTCTGTCCGTCCCGCCGGCAGCCCGCTGTACGACCTGTCCGCCATGGAGATGCAGTGCAGCGACCTGGAGGTCATTGTCATCCTGGAGGGGGTCGTGGAGACGACGGGGATCACGACGCAGGCTCGCACCTCCTACATCTCTGAGGAGATCCAGTGGGGTCACCGCTTCGTTCCCATAGTGACCGAGGAGGAGGGCGTTTACTCGGTGGATTACTCCAAGTTTGGGAACACAGTGAAGGTGAGAGAGACACAAAGTGATCAGCTCTGTAGGGACACAACATGAAGTGGAATGTGTGTGACCTTTGAACTTCCACAACTCCAGTAAAGGACACATTTCATGAGGTTTCTTTGTCTCACCAGTCAAAATGTTCCACTGACTTTGCTCAGAGACACTTCCACTTCTCTAAATATTCCGCTGTTTCTCTTCTTCAAGGTAGCGACGCCTCGCTGCAGCGCCCGAGAGCTGGACGAGAAGCCGTCCATCCTGATCCAGACGCTGCAGAAGAGCGAGATGTCGCACCAGAACTCTCTGAGGAAGCGTAACTCCATGAGGCGCAACAACTCCATGCGGAAAGGCGGAGCGAGCAGCGGCAGCCTGCGTAGGAACAACTCGGGGCTCCTCGCGCCCAAAGTCCAGTTTTACACCTCGACCGAGGGCGGCGCCAGCCTGAACGCCGTCACCTGACATGAGGCCCGCCTCCTGCTGGCTGCCCTGCTCCTCCTGGCGGGAAGGAGGATTGTGGGTGTTGTAGTTTCTCCTGCTCTAACGGGACTCATTCTTTCATTAACGGCTTTTTCTAGTCTTCACTCCCAGCACTTTTTACTTCATGATCTTTTTTCTAATAAATTGTGTTTTATCTTTTCCTTATTCAAATGTTAGGGACGTTTTCTCAGCACTGATCGAGCCACCAGACACCAAAACATTTTGTTTTCTAAAAACTAATCATTGACGCAATAATCACAAGCACTGGACCTCCACGTCTAGTTGACTGTTAAATGTTTTAGAGACATATTTTTGTATTTTCATCAATTCATAGTTAACTGGTGGCGAGAAGTCACCGTACTGTACGTGTGTATTTTTCACTTTATTGTGTCATTTGTGTTGTTTGAGAATAAACACACTCACTTCATATACATGTGTTATTTTATTTTGAAATGTTGGTGGTGAAGATTTAATATCTTATGTGTTTTATTTTTATTTATAAACATTTTTGATTTTACAATACTTAAATACAGACAGAAGAGAACAAACACAACAACAACAACAACAACAACACAAGTCAAACTGCCACCTTAAGAAAAGAAAGGGGAGTATGTGACCATGTAGTCCAAATGTAGATGACCTTCAGTGCGTTGATGATCAGGGATGCAGTCCGCAAAAACAAGATGAAGCAAGACTGAAGGAAAAACACGGCCAAGGCAGGAGAACCAGGATTCAAAGAAATGAAAATATCTGTGTTTGATGTTTCACCAAAGACCTTGTCAGGTTTGGTTTGTAGTTTTCAATCTGAAGTATGATTGTATTATTATATTTATTCAAGAAAAGAGGCAATATAACATTTCTTCCTTGATGTGAAGCTCAAAGGCAGGGTTGGTTATTTTCTCCAGATACTCTTTTTAAGATTTGGATTAAATATAAAAACATTGCAGTATTTAATATATAATTACACCTGAAGTTGCCCTAATATATACAATTATATATACGTTTATTTTTAAAAGTGCATATTTGATTAATCCAATAGAAACGTTCCTAATAAATATAGAAATGTCAGATTTCCTTTTGCGTTTAGAATTATGTGATTCATTCTTACGTCCTGACGTCATGACGTCGTTGCACCCGGAAGTGAGAGTTGGGAAGGGAAGGTGAAGCAGGAGAAGGTAAACATGGCTCGAAGTTTGCTGTGCAGAGCTGTGGGAGTGTTTCAGCTCAGCAGGACTCAAACTCCGCTGGCAGGGACTCGTTTTACTCTCAGACTGACCCGGAACCTTTAACGGTGAGACAACAAAACAGCGGGATAAGGTAAACAACGATTCAAAATAACCATTCAAAAAGGTTCAGGGGTAAATTAAAAACTGTGTTGCACATATAAAGGTACTTTCTTTAATTCGACTTACATGTTATGTCCGTGTTCTGTAGTTAAATCAACGCTTTGAGCAACTACGGAGGCCGGGAAGGACAAACGCGATTCGATAAATCATGGTCATAGTGAAGCCCGGATGCCGCTCATTGGCACATATAGTGGGACTCTCCAACAATTAGAACTCTCTGGTGAAAAATCAGAACACTTTGGGAGTCTTATACTTTTTGAGTTTCCTCTTTTGGGAGAAAGTTGACTGCATCACTGGGCACGTTTATTTAAAGAGTGACTAAACCCTAAAACCACTTTTTCAACTCTAAACCTCTTTATCTGAGTATTAAGTAGATAAAGAAAAGATTAAGTAGAGAGTAGAAAGAAAGTAGAAAAATAAAGATAAACTTTATTGATCCCCCATGGGGGAAATTTTTTCATTACAACAGCTCAAATAAAAAAACAGGAATATAAATATTAAATAACAAGATGTTAAAAATCAAACATGTACATCAGTTAAATAAAGGCAGAAAAAATACATAATAGAATAATACCAGGTATGTGCACTTCCACTTGTGGAAAGATTAAAACACACACACAGTGTGTAGCATTAATAATATGAGTGGTGATGCTGTTAAAGAGTCCGATTAAACAGTCTGACTGCAGATGGAATGAACGACCTGCGGTAGCGCTCTATTTATTATGCTCTATTTATTTATTTATTTGGCATCCTTACATCTGCCTGTAACCCTCCTCCTGTCCCTCTTTGTTCTGCATATCAACTCATTACTGCTGGAAAATATCCAGCTGCTGCTGACACCAAGTGATGCTAGAGGGGAGAAAATGGACAAATTATCAGCACACATGCGGGAATTGATGATATTGTTACCAAACACACGACCAGTTTAGCAGCCATGCAGTTTTTGAGATCGATATTGTGACATATTGTTACATTTCTCTGCATGTTTCTTTCTTCTTCCAGGAGAATCATCTTAAACAATCCCAAGAAAAGGAATGCACTCTCTCTGTCAATGCTGGAATCTCTCAGAGAAAACATCCTAACCGATGTTGACAGTGATGATCTCAGAGTCATCGTCATATCAGGTTGGTATTTATTGCGAGTGTGTTTCATGAAATTAAAAAAAATACTGATCTAAGCTTTACATTCATGTGTCAGCCAAAGGTCCAGTGTTCTCCTCTGGACATGACCTGAAAGAGTTGACGTCAGCTCAGGGCAGAGAGTATCACACAAAAGTCTTTCACACCTGTGCAGAGGTTAGTTTTTATAATATCTGACAAAAATGTTAATTACTAAAACTTTATTCAACTGTATTCATGATTAGCGTCTCATATTTTGTTGAACCAATCATCGATGATGGTGCTGATTTAAAGAACTCAGGGGCTCTTACTCTGTTTCAGGTAATGACTTTGATACAAGACATACCTGTTCCAGTCATCGCCATGGTAAATGGAGTTGCAACAGCGGCTGGTTGCCAGCTTGTTGCCAGCTGCGATGTTGCCGTGGTGACAGAGAAGTCCACCTTCGCCACTCCCGGTGTCAATGTGGGGCTTTTCTGCTCGACGCCGGCGGTGGCCATCGGCAGAGCCGTGCCTAGGAAGGTAGAAGATGAATAATCCGAGGAAAACATTTTGATAATTAGGTTCTTCAGCTTTTATATTTTTTATCACAGTTACATTTTTAATTTTATTGACAAAAGCTGACAACATCCAGTATCAAGCCCCTGTCGGATATGGCTTCATTATTTTTGGCTTCATTACATTGGCTTCATTATTTTTAACCAGGTTGCCATGGAGATGCTGTTCACAGGAACTCCCATCTCAGCCCACGATGCTTTGCTGCACGGTCTGGTCAGTAAGGTGGTGCCGGAGGAACGACTGGAGGAGGAGACAATGGCCATAGCCCAGCGGGTGTGTCAGGCGAGCCGACCTGTTGTCGCTCTCGGCAAGGCCACTTTCCAAAGGTGGGAATACTGACGGACCACTTTCGTCCTCTTTTCTTTGTTGTTTACATGATTTTTAAAGTGAAGAAACACCTAAAAATACACCTTTTAAGCAATATGATGTATTAAACACTCAGTGAAACATTGTATGTACTCGTTAGTGACATTAATCATTCAAACAAACAAGTCTGTCCATTTAAAGATTGCCATCTGTTAGTGGCTTTCAAAACATTGAAAACAGCACCATCAAAACTATGGTGGTAATATTTGAAGGAGTTGAATGAACCTCGTATAATTTGTTCCCTTGAATTTTACAAAATGTATTAAGGTCAAATATCGTACAATAAAGCGGTCAAATTTAGAAACTTATGACTGATCAAATTGAATCAAAATACCATACTTTTCCATGATTATCAGGATGCCTTGTTTGAAAACATTTAATCAACAATGATTAATACGTCTACGTTTCCCTTCAAATTTGTCATCCCGTCCTTTTTTTTCCCCCTCCAAAGACAAATGGCTCAAGGTCGAGACGCAGCGTATGCCACTGCCTCCAAGGTGATGGTCGACAACCTCGCTCTCAGAGACGGACAGGAGGGGATCCGAGCCTTCATAGAAAAACGCAAGCCGGTGTGGAGTAATAAAGCCGAAAAAGCACACGACTGATGGACTGTTGGAGAGCCAGAAGATCGCTGAAATGACCGAGTGATCTTTCTTACTGGTGCTACATGGTTTCCAGTCTGGTGTGAATAATAAGCACCAGTTCTGAGTCACTGTGTAGACTATGCTGCTGTTAAAATGTAGATATGTAATTAAAAAAGTTTAATTTGAATTTGTTGACTTTATCTTGTTATTTGCATAGACAAGTCATTGAACCAGCCTTAGAAGCTGCATTGTAGAAATGTAGAGGACTTGATATGTTTCATGACATAATGGACTCATGAAGCCGGTGGATACCAACTTACTGAACTAAACGTGAACACGCTGAAGTCAGACTTCCCAACTTAGAAACTTTTATTTGTTTTATTTTTGTTTTGTTTTTCCAACTTTATTTACTAAGAATAGAATTACTTTATTGATCCCAAACTGGGAAATTGTGGCGTTACAGCAGCAGGTTATTCAAACACACAATATTAGCAAATTTAAACACAATATTATATTAAATACAAAGTAAATAAGCACTAAAAATATCAAAACTAATAATGAGAATATATACAACCAGGATTTATGAATGCAGCATTTGTTTTATTTTTCCAACTTTATGAATGCAGCATTTGTTTTAGCTCCCGTCTAAGAATCCTATGTCACTTCCGGCCGCCATCTTTAATGACGGTAACTTTGAAAACGGAAGGGAAGACTTTCAGATGGAGTAACTTTTATGTAGATTAGACAGTTGATCAAATGTTGGAAGTTTCACAAACTTCTGGATAAATTTAAGATCTACAGTGTTTTAATTTGAATTAAAGTTAGCACCTGTTGACGGTTTGTCCTCTAACTCTTGTGATGACATGTTTTTATATCTAACACAGTTACACGTCATGTTTTTCACGTCAGAAGTCGGAAACGTGAGGCCCCTGAGCTCCTGTTGATGGTGAGGGTTTTTTTCAAAACTTTATTGATAATCAATATCAGCTGTTTACAATTATGAAAATGTTCAAAACACACCATTACAGACTGAGCATGACAGTAGTTTTATTTATCTCTTAAGTCATTAAGGAAAACAATGTCCATTCACAAAAAACTGCTATAAAAATAGTAAAGATTTAATATTTGTTTCTGCATAAATCTCTCAAACAACTTCAGCCCTGCTCAAAACCACCAAACATTCAATCAATTAGAGGATTTTACCCTTTAAATGCCAGTTTGATTACAGAATGCCAATATTTTTTATGAAAATATCCTCAAAACGATTGAACGTTTGGCTTACAGGTGACTTACAATAATATATTTATGATCCAAATATTTGCAAATTAGCTTCCCTTTTTTTAATCGAGCTTTGGATAGGGCTCTAAGATCCCTGATATGATGTCAGCTCTGCCAGCTCGTTCTGGCACCTGATGGTATTTTCCATTTTACCATTATCAGAAATTATTTTATCTTAAATAAATTCACAAAACAGTGAAAACTAAATAAACTAAATACCATCATTTACAAAATCACAATTATATCTTAGACAGCTTCTTTTGTACAATCAACAGCCCAAACATGCTGAAATAAGAAGTAACCACCAAAATAATAAACATGAAGAGTAAATCATCAGAATTCAGACGTTAATATTCTGTCTATGAACTCAACACTGGTTGATCAGTTGGGATAATAAGAGCAAATTTTTTGTATTTGGTTCATTGAGTTCATTGAATGACAAAAAATTACAATTTTTAAATAAATCAGCAACATATCTTTGATCTATTATGAAAAACTTGTTTTCTTATAGTCTACTACTTCATTAGTCCACTTATTTTTCAGCTGTAGGTTGTTAATAATTGCAATAGTTGAACACTGGTTGATAGTTGTAGCTCTGAAGTATTATTAAAACATTATTTTAGGATTGATGCGGGTTTAAAAGGTCAAACATTTTCGGCTTTTATACTGAAATCCTTATTAATCAATGTTTCATCCATCTTGAATGCGTTGCAGCTTTACCAAGTTTAAAACATTTGATGTAGTTTTACAAACACTATTCCAAGAACCACTCTCGGCCACTAGGGGGCATAGTTTCATTATTTGTTGTAAAGGCAAAGCTGCAGAAACAAACCCTGTTGTAATCAAATATTAGGGTTTGTAGGGAGTCAAAAACACAGACACATGAAAATTCAACCCACCTCATTTTTATTAAGCAAAGTATCAGAATTGTCTGAAATTAGTTGTTTAACAAAAAAAATAAAAGATAACTTTAGGAATGTGATGAACAGTAACACAATACTGTTTCTGATCCAAAACCAGAGTATGAGAAATAATCATTAAAGGGTTTGTGATCGATAAAATGTTGAAATGTGTGACTCACAAATCTGTTGTGTGTGTTTGCCAGTGATAGTGCCAGCAGCTGAACAGTAGTTGATATGACAGTGTTGAGAATAATAAGACATAATGAATTAAAGCAAAATGAAACTAGTTCACATCCATGTCTGGCTGCGTACATGTGCAATTAAAAAACAACAATGGTTACCTATGGTTACCAATCAAATCAGAAATACAGATTATTAGCCCTCATAAATTAGCTCTATTTCTTGAGTCTCTATTCAAGTTGGAATTTAATCAAAAACTACACTGGTTTCAAAAACATTACCAACGTACTGAACTTCAAGCATGGACGAGAGATTAATTGCACATGAGTTGACTAGAAAAGCAATATTATCTCAAAAGTTAAAACAAACTAAAATTAAAAAATGCTTTTTCTACAGTGGAGGCGCTTAAAACCTGTGATTTAAAACGTATAGTGACTGCTCTCCAATTCTATCGTCGGACATTTTTTTATTTATTCTCTTTGAAAAATAACATTCACAAGCATATAGAGTCAACGTATCTCTAATGTAAATATCTGCAGGTAACATAAAAAAATAAAGATGGAAAATAAATCCGAGACTTTATTTCTCTCAGGAGAAAAGTTCCCCTGCTACTGATAAACACTTTAACAAAAACAATCCACTGTACATATCAGACTCCAAAAGATATATACTGTCACCTTTTTAATGATTTACATCCAAAAAAATAAAATTACGTCTTCAGTCAATTTTTTCCTCTTTCTCTTTTTTTTAAGTGATCGGGTAAAAACATCAGAGGCTGGTGTGTCCTGCAACGTTATGATGCAGCTCGACAGTCAGAAAGTCAGTACTTCACACTTTAAAGAACAACAGACGGTGTACTGCTCGTCTTTACAGTGTCAGTGACTACTCCTCAGTTTGTTTTGTTTTTCTTTACAGTGTCTTGCTTATTCCAATCACAGCAGCATAGATTCCTGCATGGCAAACGCCTCCTGGGCGTGCCTGTAGTGTGACCCTCCAAACAGCTGGGGGAGCTGTTGCCTTATGACGGGCTCCTGCTCCTGGAACTGTGTCCTGTAGTGGAGCAGGCCGTCGGGGTTGGCGGGAAATGTGAATTCCTGAACGGGGGACATTTGGGCTCGCTGGAAGCTTGGTGAGCGGGGCATCCCGCCCGGGGAAGGAGGGGGCAGCACGTTCTCTGGCGCCCATGTGAGTCCGTCTACAGGCCGCCGAGGCCCGCCTTCTTGGTGAAAGTGCTGGTTTGCATCGACTCTCCTCTGCCCCTCAAACCTGTAGTCCACCGGAGCGTAGACCTGTGTGGCGGAGGTGAGCTGTTGTAGGTAGATGGGGGTGGAGCGTCCCTGGGTTTCCAGCTGCAGGTAGTGCTCTGGGTGAGGATGCCCGGGGTTGTGGGCGGAGTTAGATGGCGACTGTCTGCGGTAGGTGGTGTAGGAATTGTTCATCAGAGCCTTCTCTGGCGATCTGTTAGGAGGTCTTTGGGTGGTGGCATACGCTCGTTCCCCATACACCACTTTGGAGGGCGGGGTAAACCGGGTGGGCGGAGGGTACAGTCTATCCTCCCCTCCTTGGTCCAGACTTATACTGTAGGCTGGATGTAAGATCGGGACCTCGGTGGTGGGTCTTCCTGGGGAGTGCTGCTGGGGAGGAGTGTGGTACTGGTTTTGGTTGCCAGGGTAACCAGGCTGGATCCTGACTGGACTGTTGTGGGAAAATGTTTGAGGAACCGGATGTATGGGCATCCTGGGAACTGAAGCTATGGAGACAACACTACCACCAAGACTGGGTCCTCGGTTGGGACTGCTAGGATGGAGGGACGATGCGCTAAACGGCGTCTCGCTGCGAGGGGTCCTCATTCTGGACGGAGGTCTCTCAAGCTCCAGGATTTCAAAATCTTGCTCCGGTAGACCTGGTACATTGTCATATTGGGAGGCGTTGGAACCTCGGTCGGAACCGGGGACAAAGCCCTTTGAGTGTGGTCGCCGGTGTAGTAGCGCAGAGTCCTCAGGGCTGGACGGGGCGGGCGACGCTCCTCGGCTCCGATGCTCCCGGGCCGCCGCCGCTTTAGCCGCTTCCAGCTTTATGTCGGAGGGTTTGAACCAGCGCGGCGTGATCTCCCTGTGAGAACTGGAGACCGCGTTGGAGTTGTGATTGGCGGTGGCGTGCCTCTGCTGCCTCCGTCTTTCCACGGTGCCGAGCTGTGGCATCGGTGTGGGCGCTGAGGTCGGCGTCGCCCCCCTCTCAGGTGTGGTGGAGTTGGACTGCTTTTGATGCTCATTCGGTATCTCCCCTGATCCCCTGGAGCGGACGTCTCGTCTCTCAGCCTTGTGGTGGCGCATCGGTTTCTCAAACGAGTCCCGGCGCGCCCGGCTGGGGGGGCGACTGTCACGTTGGGGTTCAGGTGTGGGACTGGGGTCTCTTGGAGGTTCCACCGGCTCAACATGGCTTTGACCGTTGCCGACGTGGATTGCCCCGTCGACCGCCACCTCAGGAGGAAGCTGCCCTAGAGGCTTCTTGGGAAACTCGTCATCTTTACCTACAAGAACAAAACAAAGGAAATGCATCAGAACGCCATCGGGAGCGGCAAGAACGGTGATGGTTATTATTACACTGTGTGGTGCTGATTCACGTCAGATGAAGAGTCACAACAGGGACATGGATTCATGCAACACCACTGCCATAGAGAGGTAAAAATAAAGGAGAATTACATTCATGACAACATATAACCACATCGCCACAGGCAAACAGCAAAGGACGTAAAAACATCAGAAAGAGTGTTTAGTTTAAATTCTCAGCCTGCTGGAGGAGCTGGAGTGGGGGGGGGGTGACCCTCAATTGGGTTATGGTTTACCTGCTCCTTTGTAACATGTTTGAGATAACATTTGCTATGAATTAAGATTGATAAAGATTGAAGTGAGAGGTCTTCTTCTGCAGCTACAAATTAATGAAACCGAGTGAGACTTCAAAGTGATGTTTAAGTATTTCTTGATCAATGTACCTCGTTAAATGTACTTAAACTTGAAAGACCTTATGTGGAAGAACTGTTCTCATATGGACTACTTGGTTGCTGACCAGTTTGTAACAGCCTCTAAGGTATGTATGAATGTATATATGTATGACGTCATGAACATATGTATGTTGTTATGAACATGTATGTAGTCGTGAATAGATCAATCAATCATTTTTTATTTGTATAGCGTCAACTCATAACAGTTGTAATCTTGAGACACTTTATAAAAAACAGGTAAAAGACCTTACTCATTGCTATATTAAAAAAGACCCGGCTTAATCCATCATGAGCACTTTAGCAAAGCAGCAAAAGTTACATTGGTAACATATGAAGTAATGAACATATGTCTGTATGTTTGTTGTCATGAACGTATGAATGAATGAATGAATGAATGAATGAATGAATGAATGGGGCGCTGGTGGCGCTAGGTTTAAATCCGGCCTGTGGCTTCTTTCCTGCATGTTATTCCCCACTCTCTCTCTCTCTCTGATTTCCAACTCTATCCACTTTCCTATCTCTACATTAAAGGCACAAAACGTCCAAAAATAAATCTTTAAAATGAATGAATGAATGTCTGTAGTCATGTGTGTATAAATTTTGCATTTGTGTTGGAATCAAGTCATGTATAAATGAGTGCATGCTAAGTATAAATGGATCAAGTCGTGTATGTAAGGATGATGCATTAATGTATTGCTTATTGTTTATAGGTATGCAGTCATTTACCTTGTTTGTATTATATATGTGGTCTTGTATAAAATGTGTATTTTTGTATCAAGTAATGTGTAAGTATATATAATCAAATATCGACGTCTTTTTTTTCTATTTTGGACGTTTAATGGATTTCTGTGGGTTCTTTCGACATAGGTGTACATGTAGTTTATCCGACAGAGGTATGTATGTGGTTTTTATCAAAATTGTAATATGTCACTTTTTGAGAAATTTCAACATAGGTTAGTATGTCGTATTTTTCAAAAATTGGGACATGTCGTTTTTTTTTTTTTTGGACGATTAATGGATTTCTGTGGGTTCTTTCGACATAGGTTAGTATGTCATTTTTTCCTATTTTTTGACGTAGGGATATATGTGTGTCAGTTTTTTTTGCAGGTACTAAATATGAGCACATACTACCGGCTTATTGTCAGAAACAAACCACACATGTGAATCTACACTGCAGCTTGGTGTCAGGAAAGAGAGATCTCTCCAAACTGCACAGCCTTAAAACCACATCAGCCATTTCTCCCAGTTCTCTAAAAGAAGACGCAGAAAACGCCTCCGTGGCAGCAGACGGAAAGTTCATACAGAAACAAAAAACCTCAAGCGTCGGTAAAGTGTCTCATTTTCTTGTCATCGAGCACACAGCTCCTCTTGTGGATGTGTGGCCTTGATAAAGAACCAGGAAGTTTCCTTTCTGTCAGATCTCACGGCACTCTGACGTTTGACTAAAAACAGGTCGCTTCTGCAGATCTAGAAGAAACCCCCCCTCACCAGACCCCCCCAGAAAAAGAGATGATAGACCAGAGGTGGATCTTTGCAGATTATCTAAAGTAGATTAATAAATTGACAAATGAAGTCTTACATAAGCAGCAAGTTTGACCAGGAGAAAAGTACGAGGCGTTTGTTCAGCTGTTAGCATAACACCATGAAGAGCTACTGGACAAATCAGTGGTTCAATGACAAGTTTCCAGTTGGAACCAGAGGTATGCAGTGCCATTAAATGGCCACCAGAGGGCACATGTGTCACCTAAAAGATCTTGTTGGTTGAAGGCAGATTTCTACAATTGCAGCCACTTTGGGATAAATAAAAAAGAGAATAGAAAAGGTGAAAAACGTAAAAAAGATTACAAAAATAAGAGGAAAAAAACCTGCAACTTCAGGATCCATAGAAGCAAAAAACATGAGCAAAAAAAATATACATATTTGTGGATCAAGGACCCGGCTGGAAGACGAGAGTTTGTGAAGGAGAAACCGGAGTGCTGTTGGACAGACAGGAAGACAGACAGGACAGACTGACTGAAGGACAGATGGACAGAGACATGGAGAGGGGAGGGGGGGAAGGACCAGTCAGGATAGCCCACCGGTTACTGTTGTAGGAGGGGATGTGGCCCCCACTCACGGCCACACTTTTGTTGTTGTTGGCTAACGTGGTTCGAAAAGAAAGAGGGGGAGAGAAGGCAGATTAATGAGGAGACAGAGCAAGATCAGAAACACACTGATGCTACATGCTAACGTGGCTACGAGCTAAAGGGACAGCAGGAAGTCACAGGAAACAAGTGAAGAGTTAAAAGCCTGAAGGCGTTTTGAGTTTCAGCGGAGGATTTGAATCGTTTGAGGGAGATTGATGCTTTGGATTGCTCATTTTCTATGTTTTTATTCACATTTAAGGCAGAACTCATTTGTTTAAATTTCCACTTTTACCCACTGTGTTAAATCTTCTCTAGATTCAGTTTTTAATCATTAAATGTGGAAAAAAAGCTGCAAAATGTTTAAAACATTTGACTAAGTAAGGCCCCGTGTCCACTAAGCGTTTCTTTATGAGCACCAGCGTCTGTTTTCAACTATTTGTTTGAAATAAACTCTTTAGGAATACTTCAAATCTAACAGGTTATGACTGATGCTGGACGACTTAAATCCTGAACTCAGTTAAAAACTTGCAAAGATCTAAAAGCTTCACTCAGGTGAGAAAGGGAAAGATCAGCGGAAGCCTTCTCGCCCGGGTTCGAGTCCAACCTGTGGCTGGCTGCTTTCCCTGCCTATCATTTCCCACACTCACGGTCTATCTTTCACTTTCCTCTCTCTCCAAAAAAATGTGAGAGGAAAACTTCAGTGCATGATTAATAACTAGACTGTAGTCTTTCATCCTTCTTTAGAAACTCCTCAAAGTGTCAGCTTTATAAATGATTAATCAGGACACAGAACTGATCAACAGATTACAGTCTGTCATATTGTTCTATAGATCAGTGTTGTGTTTCTCTTCAGAGGAGGTGTGCAGAGACGTTAAGTGGTCTCTGTGGTCCAGTCACCAGGTTTTAAATAAACTCCCTCTATGGTGTGACAGCGGGTTTATCCTGTGTGTGTGTGTGTGTGTGTTTTGTGCAGGTGTTGTACCTGCTGCAGGAAGCTCCAGCTTGGCCCTCCTGAGCTCCGTCATGGACGCCTGCAGCTGCTCGATCACAAAGTCGTCCTCGTAGAAGAAGTCTTTGTTCAGAGTGGCCTGCAGGAACTCCACCAGGTCCTCCATGGTCAGCTTCATCAGGTGCTCTGGAACACACACACACACACACACACACACACACACACACACACACACACACATATATAAGAGTGTTTGAAGAGGGGAACAGCAGCTCGTGGACTCGTGCAGACAGTACAGATGCTCTTACTCTTGTGCAGTTTGAGGATGGTGTAGGACATGGAGGGCAGCACTCTCTCCCCCTCTAAGATGTAGATGTCCCAGATCCTCAGGGTGAGGGTGAACGGAGTCTGGAACCCGAACAGAACCAAAGGTCAGAAGTGAGTGTGAAAGCCTCTAAAAAACTGTGTGTGGTGTGTTTGAGGTTTGCTGAACTCACTCTGTCCAGGAAGCACTGAAAGAACCACTTCATGGTGTACAGACTGGTGAACACTTCCTGGTTGTCCTGCAGCGACAAAAACAACAACAGAGAATGAAGTGGATGCATTCAGAGCAGGGCGGGAGGAGGGGGGGGTCAAAGATCAAAGGTAGCAGTGAGAGGTCGGTGTGTCTCACCAGGTGTTGCTTCAGTTTGGGCATCGTCTTCTTCAGGATGCGGTCGTGATGCTCCTGGAAGCGCATCAGCTTGGGGAAACCCGGGACGAAGAAACCTGAAGGTGAAGCGAGGACAAGAACCGGATCTTTAGTTTCTAACATGTGTCAGCGTCACATCCATGAACAAAGGTGCTGCTGCTGAGCTGTTCATGAAAATCACCCAGATTAGAAGGTGTGACTTTCTTTAAAGGCTTTATATGTGATTTTTTGATCCAGCAGATGTCGCCCTTGAGCTCCAGCATGAAACCAAAACAACTCGCGGTGCATTGTTGTGTTAGCATGCTTAACACAGTTAAGCAGTGAGTACAGTATGTTATTCTTCTTTTCTCTAGTCCCTCAATTAAACAACTTTTATACACGAGGGGAGGAGTCAGCCGGCCGTCCTGGCGATGTAAACAAAGTGAAGATAGGACTCTGAAAACTCTGAAAACATCACAGACAGTGGGACTCGGGTGTTACACCCATTGTAGACAGTCATGACTCACAGAGTTATTTTCAGAAGATAAACTTGATTTCTACATTTAAGTGTGAAAAATCACAAATAAAGACTTTAAAGGGCTCCTGAAAAACAGAAGGATGGATTGAGATATTGGACGCCTGAATGCAGCACGGTCACATCCAGCAGACATTTAGGGAACATGGAAATGGTTTGACAGCAAAATCAAAGTGAGTGTGTGTGTGTGTGTGTGTGTGTGTGTGTGTGTGTGTGTGTGTGTGTGTGTGTGTGTGTGTGTGTGTGTGTGTGTGTGTGTGTGTGTGTGTGTGTGTGTGTGTGTGTGTTACCCACCGTGCATGGCGTGCTTCTGTCCTGACAGCAGTTTGACCAGAGCCCAGAAGGCGTCCTCTTCGTTCATGTAGATGAGCAGCAGAGCGGTGATCTGACTCATGCCCTGACAGTAGCCCACCTCCTGCAAACACACACACACACACACACACACACGTATGGAAAAACAGGTAGGTATGAAGTTTTCTGGGCGGGGGAGCTGCTGTGTTTTCCTCCAGCCAATGACAGCGCAGCGGGTGAGTTTGTGTGGACAAAGAGAAAAATATGGGTTTTATAGACGTTGTATCGGTCTGTGAAAGCTTTAAACAAAGTCATCGATTCAAATCTCTGTCGACTGACGCAGAGCGGCGTGAAGACGTGTTTGTCGACCTCATCGGCTTTTTTCCTGTAAAGTCCGTCTGACGTTCATCCTCTCCTCGCTCTTAATGGATCTGCGGCCCTGAACACCTGACATGAAAGAGAGGATCTCAAGTGGAGCTGTGCAGAGCGAGAAGGACGCTCACAAAGACGCTGAAAGCAGAGTAACCTTGGCGAGCTTCCCACACACACACACACACACACACACTCACACACACACACACACACACACACACACACACACACACACACACACACACACACACACACACACACACACACACACACACACACACACACACACACACACACACACACACACACACACACACACACAGAGGGAGTGACTCACCGTGTTGTACATGGAGTACGCTGTGAGGACGTGGAACAGAGCCTGCTGCCTGAAAACACAAACACACACACACACACACACACACACACACACACATCACAGTTTACACAAAAATCCTGAAAAATAATAATTCAAATGTTCATCATTTTTCTTTTGACCTGCAGCTTTAACATCGTTCTCTTCTTCACATGATACACAAAGAGAGCGGCTTCAATTGTTTAAATAAAATGAATGTGACGTCAGATAAACTTTGTACCAGCAGCTTCAAAAAGTATAACCCAGGGACAGAAGGACAGGTGTACTTCCTGTTCCTTTTCTGTTATGGAAGCAGAAGTTCAGACTCAGATGAAAAGGGGACGTGAGCGCTTCTCACTTCCACATTCTGAAGGTTTTTTGTGCTCCTGATTTCAGGAGAGACAAAAGGGGCTCTGAGACCTGAGGAGTGTGAAATCACACAGGAAGCAGTCCGCTCCGTTAGTCCGTCTATTTTCTGCCGCTAAGTGCAGACTCCCCGCCGCGACTCTGCTCTGTGGGAGCGCTCAGATATTTGTGTGGAGGAGATGGAGATCTTTTCTTTTTACGATCAAAATAGAATAAGTGCTGAGTGGAGTTGTGTGATTGTCGTCTGGTCGAGCTCCTGCAGAGGTTAGAAACCTGTTAGAAAGGTTGCTCTGTGGTTTGTGTAAAGTATTCAGTTGCACACATGGACTCGTTGTTTATCCTCCAAAAAAATCCTCTTCACTTCTTCATGGGTTAAAAGCGTAGTATGTCAATTTCACCACCAGGGGGATCTCAATCAAAACAATAACAAAAAGAAGCCGTCAAGGCTGGCGGGCAATCATGGGAGTGATTCTCCTGCTACTCCTGACCCCCCCCCCCCTCCATCCCCGGGTGAAAAACCAACTCCGACTAGACTGTAGTCATGACGACCGAGTGAAACCGACCTGAGGGAAGAGAACGTGTTTACCGACGAGCTAATGCAGTCTTTGACGTAACATCTGCTGTTTCCACGGCAACGATGACGATTTTACGATCTGTTGAAGGGATGTTTGCATGTTGCTTCGTTTTATTAATGACGCCCTGATTGTGTGTGTGTGTGTGTGTGTGTGTGTGTGTGTGTGTGTGTGTGTGTGTGTGTGTGTGTGTGGTGGAGAAGCTCACTTGACATCGTAGCGATGCATGAACATGATGTGGTCCCTGTAGGTGCGGTTCACGTCCAGGTCGATCTGACGGATGTCCGGGGAGACGCCTCGGGCTCGGGCTTTTAGTTTCTGCAAGAAGAAAAGTCAGAAAACACAGAAAGACAGAATTCAGGAACGACGTGAGGCACAGAGGAAAACGACTTTCCTGAATCGTGTTTTTGATTCTTATTCCTGAGATGGAAAGTCGCTGTGTTTGTTATGTTGCCAGCATGATTACGGACGCGCCTTCCTCTTTCTATTTCGCGCTCTGTTAGCTCGTTTACTCTCCACACAGCCACAGGCGTTATGATCGATCCCGGCAGCTCGACTTTCTAATGAGGTCCAAAGTTCTGCAGATTCTTTACAATGAGCCGTGCAGACTCACAATAAACAACAATTAAAAGCCGCGTCGGAGGAAATGAAAACGAAGCCGAGGGGGGCTCGCTCCTGAATCTTTATGAGGCCGAGTGTTCTTTTTGCGTTTTCAGAGTCGTATACCTCGTAGAAATCTTTCTTCTCCTCTTTGATTTTGGGAACGTCGAGCAGCAGACACCACACCTCCCCTCGGAGCTGGAGCGGGATTCCCTTATAGATCCTCCGGACCAGCTGGAAGAAAAACACAACGGGAGGTTTTAGTTCAGCTCAGATCCACCCGGGCCGAGGATTCATTAAAACAAAAGGAGCACTCAGGAAACAGAAACACAATGATGTGATGTGAGGAGGGGAAACAAACACAAGAGGATTAAACTGAATTCTGTGTGTTCAGAGGTTGATGCTGCGGGTTGTAAATATGTAATCAGAGGATCGGCCTGCCGCCAAATGTTTTTAAAATACAGAAAAACATCAGAGGAACAAACTGTGAAGACAGGAAGATACACGGAGGAGAAGCAGGAAGGTTAGGAAGGTGAAGCTCTTGTGGCTGGACGAGAGAGAGGTAGAGAGAGAGAGGGAGAGAGAGAGAGAGGAGAGAGAGAGAGGGGAGAGAGAGAGAGAGGGAGAGAGAGGGGAGAGAGAGAGGGGGAGAGAGAGGTAGAGAGAGAGAGAGAGGGAGAGAGAGAGAGAGAGGGAGAGAGAGAGGGAGAGAGAGGTAGAGAGAGAGAGAGAGGGAGAGAGAGAGAGAGAGGGAGAGAGAGGGAGAGAGAGGAGAGAGAGAGAGAGAGGGAGAGACAGAGATAGAGAGAGAGAGAGAGAGAGAGGGAGAGACAGAGAGAGACAGAGAGAGAGAGGGAGAGAGGGACAGAGAGAGAGAGAGGTAGAGACAGAGAGAGGGAGAGAGAGAGGGAGAGAGAGGGACAGAGACAGAGAGAGAGAGAGGGAGAGAGAGAGGGAGAGAGAGAGAGAAAGAGGGAGAGAGAGAGAGAGAGGTAGAGAGACAGAGAGAGAGAGAGAGAGAGGTAGAGAGAGAGAGAGAGAGGTAGAGAGACAGAGAGAGAGAGAGAGAGAGAGAGAGAGAGACAGAGAGAGAGAGAGAGAGAGAGAGAGAGAGCGCTGAAGATGGCGTCGGTGGAGCAGCGGACTGCAGGAGGTCAGCACTCAGACGTGCTCTTTAGTGTTCATAAATTCTATTCTCACTTCAGAACAAATCCAACAGACGTTGTGTTGAAGTCTTATTTATTAGTTATTTCTTCACCTAGAAAGCAGCACAGACTTCATGTAGCGCCGTCAGAGTTTATCTTTAAGTAGAATGTCACAGCTCTTCAAGGTGTCAGACGTTCTGATATTATTACTGTAACTCTTAAACTACAACCTTGAGCCAAATTCAGCACGAGGCCCGAGGAGAGAGGGGATAATAAAAAACAACATCTTTACATCTGCTCGCTCGCTCGCTCGTCCTGCGGGCTAAATGTTCTCAGCAGCTGGATGTGAGGAAACAAGACGCATCGAGCGTGACCTGTTTCCTCTGTGAGCTGACGGCGCTCTACTGACTGATGGTGAGGGAGAGAGAGAGAGGGAGAGAGAGAGGAGAGAGAGAGAGGGGAGAGAGGGGAGCGAGAGGGGAGAGAGAGAGAGAGAGAGAGAGGGGAGAGAGAGGGGAGGGAGAGAGAGGGAGAGAGAGAGAGAGAGGGGAGAGAGGGGAGAGAGAGGGGGGAGAAGAGGGAGAGAGGGGGAGAGAGAGAGAGAGAGGGGAGAGAGGGGAGAGAGAGAGGGGGAGAGAGAGAGGGGAGAGAGAGGGGAGAGGGGAGAGGAGAGAGAGAGAGAAGGGGAGAGAGAGAGAGGAGAGAGAGA